CCTGATTGTACGAAAAATCATGTTTTTAGTTTGTGGACACTCAAGAGGTAACAATTTGTATCCGATTTTGATGAAACTTAAAAGATCTTGGTTTCTTTCAATATTTGCGTATATCTGACTATAACTTCATGGATTATGGCCCTGATTGTACGAAAAATCATGTTTCTTTTATTGTGTGGGCCCTCTAGAGGTCACAATTTATACCTGATTATTATAAACCATTTAAATATATCACTGTAACACTGTAATGATGATAAGAGTTCAAATTTCGTGACAATCGGATTGAAATTGCCAGACGAATTTGCTGCTCTTCATACACAAATAGTGTAAAAGTATGTACATGTAATACCATGATTGTGGACCTTCTAGAGGTCACAATTATCATCCAATTTTGATGGAACTTAAAACGTATGCTTATATCCCAAAGATCTTGGTTCCTTTCGATATTCTCGCAGATAGGACTATATTTCATGGATTACTCCTATGGCCCCTCATTGTACCAAAATTGTGTTTTTTAGCTTTTGGTCCCTCTAGAGGTCACAATTATTATCCAATTTAAAAAAAATGTTTGAATATATATATATCACTGTTAGCCCCTAATGACATTCGTGAAAATCGGACCGCATGACAACCACTTGTTCCATTATATCAATATGTCAATACTTATACCAATACATAACCCCACTATAGTAAATTGATCAGGAAAATTGACCATCTATCTGAAAAATTATCAAAAGAAGAAAGCTGTGCACTTTTTAGTACTTTAACTGTGGTGCATCTTTCATTTTTCTAGTTCAATGCTAAGCTGATGTAGCTCAGATAAATTTCAAGATTCATTAGAAATGGAGTGTAATCAGATTTTAGTGAAATAAACAAAGAAACCAACATTATCATGTCATTTTAAATTAGGAGTCGATTTTTCTCTATCAAGCAAGATGGAGTATGTGTTCATTTGAAAAATTTAACAAATACCACCTAAGCAACATACCTAACATCTTTTACCGTAAATCATCAACCATTTTAGTAATTCAAAAATTAGTGAAATTTTCCTCCTCAGATAGGACAAGTGGTGTAAATCAGATTCCATATATTGTACATGTAGGGAGGTTGACGTTAAACTTGAAAACCTATTTAAATCTTTGGGCAACATACCACATTTAATGTAGTAATTATCAATAGTTAATAAACAATACCTCATATGACATTTATATTTTTCCAAATATTTAGATGAAGATTTTGTTCGTCTCCATTATAGCCTTTATTCAATAACGGTTTGAGACTAAACTATATCTATACCCACAGTCAACCAATCTACTCTTACTATATTTAACTCATTTGAAAATTACACGAAACACAAGTTATTACGATTAAAATTTTTTGTCCAATTTCACAAACATAGTCCCACTGTCAAAAGTCCACATCAAATTTCTAAGAAATAAAAAAAATGTTACAGAGAGGATAATTTTACTGAATCAATTGAAGCAAGAGGTCCAAATTTGGGAGGAGCTGAGGGTAATACAAATAAATCTTTCTCTGGGGTGCTGTTCTGTTCAAATAGCGAACAACCCACAGTGGTACATGTAGCTACCCAAGCTGGCTGATCATGTCAATATTATGCCTGCCATGTTATGATCTACATGCATGCTAATGTCTAGGCCATGACAAACATTCAAAATGGTATTTCCCTTATTGTTGCCATTGTTAATATTATGAGATATTCTGAAAATATTTCATTCAGCCCAAGTCTTTCATAATGAACAGTCTGAACCCTCTTCCTAATTACTGACCAATCAAAAAAAAAAAAATTCTGTATAAGATACCAAAGTATGAAGATCATAGAAAACAGGAACTGAATAAAGGTTCTATTGATCCTTACCTCTTTCATTAGATCAGGCGGTATCATTTAACAAAATAATTGTTCATGAAAGTAATAGAAAGATTTGAACAAAATAATTAGCCAAATATAGATGGACAATAGGTAATGTTGAGTACCATTATAGCTGTAAGTAGTGAAAGGTGCTGTGCATGAAACAGGATATGACTGCTCCATGAATTACATTTTATCTGATTCCATTTCTGATTTATTGGTATAGCTCAAATGGCTTATAATTCACATTAATTTATTTGTTAAAGTGGAGATTGGTGCGGTGTCTGTAATAATGCTTTGGTGATTATACTATAAAATTGCTACATTTGTAAAATGTTCTACTGGTGCTAGTCTCTAAATGACATGCAAAGTTTATCTGGATTTGAATCAAAGAAAATATGTTCTATAATTCACAAACATTCCTGAAGGTGATAGCTGAATTTTAATGGTTAAACATGTAGAATAATGTTAATAGGTTGTATCGACTTTGGTAATTAGTGTTCTTATAAATACTTTTCAGGTCATTCAGTATACCCGACACACCTTTATTTTATGATTCAACTCAAAGAACTTTCAGCACTCACTAAAAATGTTCTAAGATGATAACCAAATTAGGTACATTGTATCTGAAAGACATGCATGCATATTGCAGAGAGTTTGAATGAATGGGCTAGACTTGATTAAGACAGTATTGACCTGTAAGCAACTGTAATATTGTTTTACAATGTACATACATGTATAGAATTCCCAGAATACTATCTTAACATCACAGGATGGTCGAATTTGGCACGAATCTATAAATATGTTTTAATATAGTTATCGATATGAATATTGTCATCATTAGGACAATAAGAATGCATATTAATGCCAGAGAATGTTCTTGTTATAATAACACAGTTTGGGTTCACTTTTGGAGAGATGCCAGAAGTCTGACATCGGTCGCCCTATATTCCATGAAAGACGTTTATAACCCGGCTACCTGATTTTAGACCATGTGTCTGGCATATTTAATTCCTTGCATAATTTCTACCAACTTCAAAAAAAAAAATGTTACTTATAAGAATGACATAGGCCTACCTTATCATGTAATATAAAGTAAATTCAAGTCAGTCTGCCCTATATTCCCTTCGAGAGCCGCATTTCTATAGCTGAACTATTTGCTGATAACAAGTAGAGAAACTTTCGCCTTTACCGAATTTTGGAAGATGCCATTGTACCTGAGAGACGGTGCGGTTATTCCAGTTGTTTGCTTTTGACTGATATTCGAATTTCAATAGCAATGTTTCTTCAGCGAATGTGCATATGAGTTGCATATGCTCCAGGCCTTAAAAAAACACAAAATATTTGTCTTATACCAAAATTGATAGAAGTCATAAAAGCCATCACCCCTATTGAGGACATGGGCTCGTCTATCATGAAAGGACTCAAGTGGCACCACTTCCAAAGGGTCCATAATACCTTTTGTTTATGAAATTGATCACTGGCCTTCAGACATATTGCCATGTAAATCTAAACTTAAAATAGGAAACATGTGGTCCAAAGTTTATGTATATTTGTAAGTAAAGGAAGTTGTTAAAACCGGGTGGATCATATGGTTAGATGCACGTGTACTTGGATCTATATATAATGGATGCACGTTATTGGTTATTAGATTATGGACCACTAATTTTAAGGAAACAATGTGTATCAAATAACAATGTACCTGTCCTGGGAGTATATAATAAATAGCTTTTGAGTGAATAAATTATTTTATAAAATTATCTGAGTGCGAAGGCTTGGAAAAATTGTTTACTGTTTTGACCCTAACAACTAAAAGACATTACTTGACCTGAGCATTAACATTTAGCAAAAGTTTAATGACCATGAATTCAATTTATAAATTGTTAGCAAAATTATATCTTTGAAGGATCATTTTCCTGATTTTATAGTACAGAGTGAATAAATGTTCCAACCCCTTTAGCCATTGAAAATAGTTGCTAATTGTTCAAGTTTATGAGTGAGGGTCAGTACCACTAAGTCACCAATTATATGGAAATGGTTATCAAGGCAATTTTTAGTTAGAAATTTGTAAACTTACGGCTAAAATCATATGGATTAGAAACTAAAACATTTTATGTCCTCTTAGGTTAAAATTTTCTAAAAATGTTTAACACAGAATTAACAAGTTTTATATACTAAAATATATCTGAGACTGTTTCTTTAAAGTAGCGAAACAATGGGAAAGGCAATACAGAATCATTTACTCAAAGATAAATCTATAAATAGTATTCCAAATGAATTTCAAGTTGCTATTTTTTTTCAAATGTAAGGTATTTTATTATTTTAAATTAATCATAATGTTAAATTAAAGGTATATTATGAATAATATTGTAATAAGATAATATATACACACATTCATGCTTCCTATCACCTTGAACATTAGATATCCAGCTCACTATTTTGCTAAAAATAAGATTGTATATCAATCAATACATTTTTCAACATAGCAAACCAGCATAAACTCAAAGTGGGTTTTATATTGTCAATTAATTGATCTCTGTTCACATTAGATTTGACCAAAAATGGAAGATCAACTTATTTACTCTCCAATGGTCATTATTTTTCAAATCCACCTTTTGCAATTCCTCATGTATACTATATTATTTTTATAGTCATGAGAGAAGACAGCAGAAAATGATAACCATGTAAGTCATGTTAAATGAGAGAGAAATTTAGTAGATAATATCTTGGGGATGTAAAACTCAATAGGTACATTGTCACAAATATATGCTGTTATTAGCAAATTGTGCCCATTGAAACACTCTTCTGTGTAGCTTATTACATTTTCAATTTGAGTGTGTGCCTTTTGTCAAGGCAGTGGTAATTTATAATTAGGTGATATTTGCAATTAGTACATATTGGTTCTGATTTTCATTTAATTGACAATTTTACCTTGTTTCTATGACATATAACTTAAATGTCCACATGTGTGTAGCTTGAAATATGTAATAACTTTCAGTCAATTAGTGATCTTCAGACTGACCTTTCACTGTTTTGCCACAAAAGTCAGTGGACTATTGTCTAAAACAGTCAACTACCAAATGTTATTCAAGAAATCCAGGAAAAATTTGCAACACAAGAAAACATCTTAAATGTCTATAAATTTATTCTTTAATAATATATTGAAATACATTATAAATGTCCAGTCCTAAAAAAAAATCGCAAATAACTATTCAGACACCTCATTAATTTTACAATTAGGCCCTATCTACTTGGTTACATGTAGTTACACACAAATCTAATCTTTATATTTATATTAACATTGGCCTCTACCAATAATTGATTTGAATAATACATTTGTACTTGTAATTATTAAAGATGAACTATGAAAGAGCTAAATTTGAGTAGAGCAGGTTTTTATTTTGGCTTCAAATGTTATATAAATTATTATTTTGACATTTATTTACAACTCTCTAGATCATCGGATGGCGGAGATGTGAGAGAGAGAAAGAAATGGGGTTTAACGTCCACTTGACACAAACTAGGTCATTTCGGGACTAACATATGGTTTAATTTTATTTCAATAATTCGCTTGCGCATAGGGCCTTTAGCAATGGGAGGAAACCGGAGGACCCGGAGAAAACCCACGAGGTTGGACAGGCGACCCTACTCCTTGTCACGTACAACCGGGGATTCGAAACCACGCCAGTCGACTCAATGACAGACTTCATGATACAGCGCGCGCACGCTAACCATTCAGCCATCCAACCCCCCTGGCGGAGATGTAAACCGATTGAAATACGATTGCCATTTAATAATATAATTTAAAAATGGAGAAGCGAGGCTGAGTTGCGATTAACAAGTAACGTTGCTATGAGTATGATAATAAAGAATCTATACCACATTTTGTCAAAACTTCAAATAATGATAACTTTGCTCCGAACAAAGTAATTTGAATTAAATTTTCAATTATCTATTTTGGAACTATTACAGCAATAGTGCCCAGTTCCTTATTTATTAAATCTTAAATAATGCATCTTTAAATCTAATATAGCTAAGAAAAGATGTCTATTTAATATCTGAATTCTACATTTTTAGGTCTGTACACCACATCTGACATCTCTGTTCAATTCACGAAAGTAAACACTTTCGTTCTCTTCACCAAGGCAGGTTTAGACTTTGGGACCACAGCAGAAAGTACATAAGATTTTATGGTGTATCTGGAAGTTCCTAACTTCTAAAACATGGTTTGACACACGTTTCTGACAGAGACGCTTGTACATGTAACATGGAAAACTTTTCAAAAACATTAAGCTGAGGCTAAGTTCAGTAAGTTTATTGTCTAAAGTCTATTATTAAGCTCAGATTCTTGTGAGAGAATCAAAGTCAGGGACAAATAACTTGTCGGAAACCACTTCTCAATAAGTATAAATTACTATTTATAAGCTAACTTCTCAATATTTGCCCTTGAATTTGATCATCTTGCTAACCTAGTAACATGTATGTATGTCATTGTGATTATGAACAAAATGTTATTTTTTAAAGACATTTTTCACTTCTCAAAAGCACCTGCGAGGTTTATGATATATGGTCCACATGAGGCACTTCATCTTCAATCACAGAATTAGGAGGAATAATGTTATTGAGAGGTAAACTTGAAAAATGATGTCTTAATTGTTTTAATGATTTGCTGGTAACACTATAAGTCTGTTCAGCTTTATGGAAATCATCAGTTTGTTTCTCTAATTGTTCATGTAGATTCATTAATTGTTTTTCATATTTAATTTTAGTATTTTGAACAGCCATGTCAACTGCTCTTTCCTTTTCACGAATCTCACTTTCTAATTTTAAATTTGTATTTTTCAGTAACAACTGGTCTTTATCATAGGTAACTCTCATTTCATGCATGTCTTTCATCATTTTATTTTTTTCCATGTCAATTTCTTTCCACATATCCGTAACTGTGTCTAATTTAGCAGAACTATGATCTAACTGATGTTGTAAATTATCACAATGAATTTTTAGTCTACCATTTGCCTTATTAGCTTCGGTTAATTGGACAGTATTTTTTTCAAGGGCGTATTCAAGCTTTTTAACTGTGTTTTCTAAATATTTGTTCCGTTCTTCCGTTTCCCTTAATTTTACTTTCAAATCAGAAATTTCATCTTTAGCAGATCTGAAAACTTTACGCAAAACTCCCAGTTCCTCAGAATCCCAGATGACCGAATTCTGGAGTTCGTCATTTCCATCATGCTTTTCAAGGTTTCGTCTTACATGTCGAGACATAGTAGGAGTAGAACTAGTAGTAGAAGGGTCATTCAATAAATCCATTTCTTGACCTTGTTGCAAATCTAGTTTAACATCAGATTCTGTTGTTTTTCTTGTTAGTCCTTGTCGTTCACAATTTTGTTTCTGTATTTCTTCATCTAGGAGTTTCATCAATCGAACTTTTTGATAAATTTGTTGAATGTTCTCTGCATCTAAAGCATTCCATCTATTTATTTTGGTATCCATTTCCCCACCGTCTTTTGCGGCTCTTATAACTACTTCCATGTCAAATGTTGGTGAAAATAAATCGGCTATCCATTTGCCTGGGACTGAATCCGATATATTATCACCCATGTCATCTGTATTTCTTGGGTGAGAACCCGAAGAGAAATCTTTCTCGTTCTTCTCCATGTTCTCCTGTTACCAAGAATCCAACGATAAATTATTGGCTTGGCTAACTAGATTCTTAAAACGTGAAAGTGCCGATTTTAGTTCACCGGAAATTGGGATTTTAACATTTGAGCGTGTGATATTTTTTCTCGCATTACATACTTCAAATCATTGACGTTCCAAAACTTGCTACATTATCTTCAATTTAGGTTACATAAACAAGTCGTATGCTTAGTAGAACTGCGTGCGTAATAAATGATGAGACGGAAACATAAACTCAAACGAATCAAGTTGGCTATTTTATTTGTTTACAGGTCGTCAAGTCGCGTGTGGCTTGTAGTCTCGGTCACCCAAAACCTCCTAGTCTCCAACATTCGTAGAATATTTTTCTGGATGATAGAGACTATGTGGCTTGTCATTCGACAGTTGGACGGTCTCTAGTTAAGTGTAGACCTTCATCTGTTACACTGTCTGTTCCAGGAGTACTCCTAATCTAGCCATTTCTTCAGTTTTTTATACGCCCACATGGAAATGTGGTCGTATATTGCCGTCGCTCCCGTCCGTCCGTCGGTCCGTCCGTCCGCCCATCGTCCACAATTTCTTGTGAACACTCTACAGACTACATTTATCAACCGATTGTTTTGAAATTGATATGTTGTCTGCATTAGTGAGATGAGGAATCCTATTTAATTTCAATAATTTCCGTTAATTTCTTCTGGAGTTATGGCCCTTGTTTCACTTTGTTGCACCTTGTGAACGCTCTAACGACAAAAGTTATCAACCGATCTGTATGAAATTTATATGCATCATTTAAATTTGTAAAACAAAGAAGCCTATTGAATTTCAACAATTTCCGTTAATTACATCTAGAGTTATGGCCCTTGTTTCACGTTGTTGAATCTTGTGAACGCTCTAATGACAAAAGTTATCAACTGATCTGTATAAAATTGATATGCATCATTTAAATTAGTGAAATGAAGAAGCCTATTGAATTTCAGCAATTTCCGTTAATTTCTTCATGAGTTATGACCCTTGTTTCACTTTTTTGCACCTTGTGAACGCTCTAACGACAAAAGTTATCAACCGATCTGTATGAAATTTATATGCATCATTTAAATTAGTAAAACAAAGAAGCCTATTGAATTTCAGCAATTTCCGTTAATTACATCTAGAGTTATGGCCCTTGTTTCACTTTGTTGAATCTTGTGAACGCTCTAATGACAACAGTTATCATCCGATCTGTTTGAAATTGATATGCATCATTTAAATTAGTGAAATGAAGAATCCTATTGAATTTCAGAAATTTCCGTTAATTTCTTCTAGAGTTATGACCCTTGTTTCACTTTTTTGCACCTTGTGAACGCTCTAACGACAAAAGTTATCAACCGATCTGTATGAAATTTATATGCATCATTTAAATTAGTAAAACAAAGAAGCCTATTGAATTTCAGCAATTTCCGTTAACCCTTTCGTGCATCCCGGTCACATATGTGGCCAGTATTTAGGGGTGTTAACCCTTTCTTGCATAGAACAATATTTTTGTTGCCAGAAATGTCAAATTCTAACCAGTTTAGGGGGTGTCACATATTTTGCCACCATGCAGCTCTGGGTGGCGGTAGGCACACACAATTGATGCCACTATGCACGAATAGAAGGAAATGAAGACAAAAGGAGACGTCAAAAAATGCAAAATACGTATTGTTTCCAGATGTAACATTGACATTCTGTCAACTCTATCAACATATGTGGCATGTATAAGGTCACTACTGTATGCATAGTGGCCACTTATGTGGTCAGTCTATAAAATACCTCCTAGTTTATTTCTTATTCTTTGAAAAATACTAACTACTATTTCTACATGTTCTGAAACAAACATTTTACTAAACTGATATAAATTTTCACTTAATATCCTCTCCATGGGGAAATTATTGCACTTTGCCAGTCGGAAAGTCAAACTCACCTACTTCCACTGGGGGCTGCCATGTTGATTCTGCACCAGGCTATCACAGGGCCATCTATCAGCGATAAAATAAACTAAAGATGGCACCGTTTGTGGCCAGCATGTAGTTAGTATTTTTCAAAGAATAAGAAATAAACTAGGTGGTATTTTATAGACTGGCCACATAAGTGGCCACTATGCATACAGTAGTGACCTTACACATGCCACATATGTTGCCGGTATGCTATAAGGTATGATAATGTTGGGCATCTCCCTGCTGTAATGCAGTCAAAAAATGCACCAAGATGCAAGCTCGAAACATGTTCTTCCAGGTGTTGTAGAACAAGGTGTGTCAAATGCAAGGCCCCCCTCTGTTGCGATGGGACATCCAGCTGCTCTAATATGACTTTCATAAGCATAGGGATAAGATAGGTAGAGCCTACTGCTGGCCTGGTATATGCATTGCTTGTGGGACAGAGAAAATGTCTTTGTTTCTCTTCAAGTTCAGACAATCAGTCATTAGTTATGTTAGTGCAATGTCTTCTGTTTTGATTGGCCAAACATCCGCACAATGCTGAAAATTGATAAAATTGTTGATAGAGTTGACAGAATGTCAATGTTACATCTGGAAACGATAAGTATTTTGCATTTTTTGACATCTCCTTTTGTCTTCATTTCCTTCTATTCGTGCATAGTGGCATCAATTGTGTGTGCCTATTGCCACCCAGAGCTGCATGGTGGCATCATATGTGACACCCCCTAAACTCCCAATTTAGGAACCATAATTGAAAAAAGTGTATTGGATATGTCTAATAATGTGCAAATACATGTCTGGTTGGAATTTGACATTTCTGGCAACAAAAATATTGTTCTATGCAAGAATGGGTTAATTTCTTCTGGAGTTATGACCCTTGTTTCACTTTTTTGCACCTTGTGAACGCTCTAACGACAAAAGTTATCAACCGATCTGTATGAAATTTATATGCATCATTTAAATTAGTAAAACAAAGAAGCCTATTGAATTTCAACAATTTCCGTTAATTACATCTAGAGTTATGGCCCTTGTTTCACTTTGTTGAATCTTGTGAACGCTCTAACGACAGAAGTTATCAACCGATCTGTATGAAATTTATATGCATCATTTAAATTAGTAAAACAAAGAAGCCTATTGAATTTCAGCAATTTCCGTTAATTTCTTCTGGAGTTATGACCCTTGTTTCACTTTTTTTGCACCTTGTGAACGCTCTAACGACAAAAGTTATCATCCGATCTGTTTGAAATTGATATGCATCATTTAAAATAGTGAAATGAAGAAGCCTATTGAATTTCAGCAAATTCCGTTAACTACGCCGTGAGATTGCCCTTGTTTCACTTTGTTGTACCTTGTAAATGCTCTAACTACAAAAGTTATTATTCGATCTGTATGAAATTTATATGTATCATTTAAATTAGTAAAACGAACAAGCCTATTGAGTTTCAGTTATCACCTAAATTAGTGAAATGAAGACGAACAAGCCTATTGAATGTCATCAATTTCCGTCAATTACCTCTAGAGTTATGGCCCTTGATTTACTTTGTTGAACTTTCGATCAACAAAAGTTATCATCCGATCTGTATGAAATTTATATGCATTATTTGAATTAGTAAAACGAAAAAAGCCTGTCGAATTTGAACAATTTCTGTAGATTTCGTTCAAACAACGAAAATTATAATGTCATCTGTATGAAATTGTCTATTAAATTCCCCTAATTACCTACAAAAGAATAAATATGTGACAACCCTTGTCGCCTGCTCGGACGATTTAGCTCCTGTGGGTGTATGTTTTGTTGCCTGGCAACCTATCTTAATTTAAACGGCTAAAACTTGTCATCCCGTTGATTTCTTCGTCGTGCCTTATTAACTAGAAGTTCGATATTCTCTTGTAAATTTCACATAATTTCGACACTTGCATTTCGCGTAAAGGGTTAGGGATCTCCAAATCCGGTACATTCGGCTCGAAATATTTAGTGAAGGAAAATTCGCCCGTTTCTTTCGCGGCAGTAATACTTATTCAATTATTGGATTTCACACTGTGAATCTTCGGTTAAACACTCATGTTTTTCGATCGGATTAATACTATGTTCTGTTTCCACCTGCTTATTTCGCAGTATTAAACTGTTCATTGAAGATACATTATGGGGTTAAGATAAAAGAGCTGGCAGTTCTCACTATAATAGTTAAAGATACATTATGGGAGATTAGATAAAGAGCTGACAATTCTCGCTATAATAGTTAAAAACTAGATAATGTAAAGGTAATTTGTTGAAAATTTCAGTCAAATTGATCCACTATGAACCGAGATACCAGCTTTGGAAATTTGCGCATAACCTCGTTCAGCATTACTAAAGTTTGTACTTAAAAAGCATAGTCTCGATTATCCATTGTTTTGATTTAATTATCAATGAGCGCCAGCAGCATATAGGATTCTAATCCAGTCGATATCGAAGGCTAGCCTTGACATCGAGAGTTGATTATGGTCTTGATAAGTTAATTAATGTCTAATTAATAATTTAGATAAGATTTCAGGCCTAAAGAAAGACCTGCGATAGGCAGATTTAGCTCTTGCATAATGCATGTTTAAAAACTAGATACCCGGTAATGTAAAGGCAGATAATGTAAATTTCAGTCAAATTAAATTGATCCATTATGAACCGAGAATTAAGCGATTGAAATTTCGGCCTAGCCTCGATCATCATTACTAAAGTCTGTACGATCATCTATTTCATCAATCTGTTTCACAGAGATCTTCTAATATCTCTGTAACAGATGACTGTTTCGACACGTGACGTCACATCACGCTGCGTCAATCATTGGCGCAATAGCACGTGCATTGTTTACATAAGTTACTGATTCGAGCTAATTGGTGAATTTTACTTATTTTATTACCCATTTACACTAAATAGGAAATGATTTTTACCTTGTGGAACCTATAGAGGTCATAATTTTTATCCGATTAAAAAAAAACCGTATTATTATATCACCGTTAGACCCTAAGGTCGACTGAGTTCGAATTTCGTGAAAATCGGCCCAAAACTGACAGACAAAATGACCCTATAGAGGTCACAATTTTTATCCGATTTTGTTGAAACTTGAAATGTAAGTTTATAACCCAAAGATCTCGGTTCCTTTCGATATTCACGCATCGGACCGTAACTTCCTGAATTATGGCCCCTGATTGTACGAAAATTCACTTTCTT